CGGAAGGGCGGGCGCTCCTCGCCGATCACCGTCACGACTGCCTGGAGAAAGGCAAAGCGGAAAGAGATTGGAAATTTGTAGGACTTCTCCCTTGGGTCCTGTCACCTCCTTCAACATTCAGGATTCCTTGACTTCTAGAGTTGGGGTCCTCCAAGTGGACCTGCTCTGTGGGAACAGTGAACACTCATTTCCCCCCCCCCACCAGCAGTTATTTATTGGGGGGGGAGGTATTTGTGAATTTCCTGCATTGTGCCGGGGGGTTGGACTAGATGACTCTGGAGGCCCCTTCCAGCTCTTTGATTCTATGATTCTAAAACACTCTGTCCCATCCACTTAAAGCACTTATGGGGTCACCTTCCTAAAGTACAATTGAAACACTAAACAGGTTCAAAATGTTAATGACAACAATACAAGTTCCAGTTTAAAATCCCACAGTCCGTAACCGGAAACCAACATATGGGGGTGGGGGGAATCCTCCTCAGTTACAGGCCTGGATGAAAGGGGACATTATTGTCTGGTGCCTAAGAATTAGCAGGACCAGGCAAGCCTTCACTGGAGTTTCATAAGTGCAGGCGGGGACACAGAAAAGGTCGCAAAGGCCCGAACAGCGTGTTGATAAACTGGCTGCCTGACTGCCACTGGTGATCGGGACATGAGCTAAACTGGCAGAGCATCCCTAATGGCAATATGGGAAACACAGAAACATAGAGCTGGGAAGGGACCTCAAGGGTCATCTAGTCCAACCTCCTGCACAATGCAGGGAATGCTCCACTTCCCCCCACTCCCACAGTGACCCCCGCTGTATGCCCAAACCTGGTTCCGTTTTGTATCTTGTCTGCCAGAAACAATCCAATCCACTGAGGTCTGGGTCAAAAGCTGGGCGCAGATGACATTTCCCTCCATAGCCCCTCTCACGTGTCTTGCAAACATGTCCCTACCTTGGCCACAGACTCGGGGGATTGGCCCAGGGTGGCGAATATCTCATGTGAGGCTGGAAGATAGATCTCCTTGAAGTATCGCACTGTGGCAGGGTCAGCTCCTGGGAATTCGGCGTGTGATACCTCCTCCATCAGCTTCGCCTCAAATTCTGTGTTCACCGGGCCAGGCTCCACCAAAGAGATGCTGTGCAGAAGAGAGGTATAGAGAAGGGGTCAGTTAGCATGTCCGGCTAGGGTCTGAGAGACCCAAGTTCAAATCTTGACTCTGCCATGGAATCCTGTGTGACTGTGGGCCAGGCATTCCCTTTCAGTCTAACGCCCCTCACTCCCTGACCTGGACAGCCCAGGCTAGTGTGATCTCATCAGATCTTGGAAGCTAAGCAGGGCCGGCCCTGGTTAGCGTTTGGATGGGAGACCTCTAAGGAAGACCAGGATCAGAATGCAGAGGCAGGCAATGGCAAACCACCTCAGAATGTCTCTTGCCTCGAAATCCCCACTAGGGGTCACCAGAAGTCAGCTGAGACTGGACAGCTAAAAAAAACCCTCACAGGTTAGTTGTGAGAGTTAAATGGAAAGGAGGGGGGCCTCATATATACTGCCCTGATCTCCTTGAGGGGAGGGCGGGATAAAAATTAAAAATGTACCAGGTAGATATCAGAGCTAGATGGTCAGATGCCCGGTAAAAGCATTGGCTAAGGCAATTTATACACTTTTAATTTCTTAAGCTTGTTTTTGGCCCTGAGGAACTTGTCGGCAGCCTTATGTGTGTGTCAGTTGCAATATTTTATTACTACGGTCCAAGACCAGCAAGAATAGTATAAAAATGGTAGATAAAATATATAAATATATACAACAATATGTTACACTAAATCCCCCCTCCCAATCATAGAATAGATTTCGGTGTTGAAAATAGAGTCATGATTCTCATAAATAACAGAATCAGAGAGGTCCCTCAATATATGAGTTAGAGATCTCCTACACTTCAATGCCAACCAACTGAGAGCCAGTTTGGTGTAGTGGTTAAGTGTGCGGACTCTAATCTGGGAGAACCGGGTTTGATTCCCCACTCCTCCACTTGCACCTGGCTGGATGACCTTGGGCAAGCCATAGTTCTGATAAGAACTGTTCTTGAAAAAGAGCAGTTTCTGTCAAGAGCTCTCTCAGCCCCGCCTACCTCACAGGGTGTCTGTTGTGGGGAGGGGAAGGGAAAGGAGATTGTAAACCACTCTGAGTGAAGGGCGGGGTATAAATCCAATCTCTTCCTCCTCCTCCTCCTTCTTTTTCTTCTTCCTCCCTTGTACGTTATGTCCTGGCTCTTATCAGAGAGCATTCTAGAGAGAAGTAGAGCTCTATGTCTTCCTGGATAGGCTGAAAGTATGGGCAAAATATAAACTTCATGTATCTGATTGTACATCTTATAATCAAAGAGAACATGTTCTAATGTTTCTGTTTTCCCATCACAACAGGGACAGAATGTTTTAATATCTTCCCTCAAAGGACTGTAGAGGGCAAAGCATCCCAACACCTTAATGTAAAAGTTCTCCTGTGTTCATAATTTGCCAAATGATAAAGATACGACATAGGTGTCATCCTGTTCCTAGAACTTGGATTGAACAGAAACTTTTTAATTCTATTGTTATCGTGTTGCCTCTCAGTGTCTAAAACCCCATAGAGTTCTCAAGGCAAGAGACGTTCAGAGGTGGTTTGGCATTGCTTGGCTCTTCATAGTGACCCCGGTCTTCCTTGGTGGTTCCCCATCTGAGTACTACTCCTTTACTCCCCTCAAAACTTTTGCCTTTATGCTCAGAGCAATTTCCCTTCCTGGTTGAGTCATCTTTGTTCCAGGTAATCTCCTTTGAGCACAGTGGCTCAGAGGTTAAGACGCTGAGCTGCAGACCAGAAGATCTGTAGCTTGGCAGTTCGAGACCCGAGTGCCGCGTGACGGAGTGAGCTCCCATCTCTGGCCCCAGCTCCTGCCAACCTAGCAGTTCAAAAGCAAGTCATTGCAAGTAGATAAATAGGTACCACTTCAGTGGGAAGGTAACAGTGTTCCATGCACCTTGGCATTTAGTCCTGCCGGCCACATAACCATGGAAATGTCTTCAGACAGCGCTGGCTCTTCGACTTGGAAATGGAGATGAGCACTGCCCCCTAGAGTCGGATTCAACTGGCTTTTGAGCAAGGGAAACCTTTACTAACTCTGCACTGGCAGTGGTTGGATCATCCAATCACAGCCCATATGGTGGAATTAGTTTTCCTTCCCCCTGATAAAGGCCGATTAGAAAGGAGGCAAGGTCAGCCTAGAAAATCACTCCGAGGTGCAGAGGGTGTGTGAAGACCCCTCCCCGTTTTCCCAAGTCAGGTGGGTGAATTCTCTGGGATTGACTCACTCACAAGATATTGATGGAATTAGTTTTCCTTCCCCCTGGGAAAGGCCGATTAGAAAGGAGGCAAGGCCAGCCTAGAAAATCACTCCGAGGTGCAGAGGGTGTATGAAGACCCCTCCCCATTTTCCCAAGCCAGGTGGGTGAATTCTCTGGGATTGACTCACTCACAAGATATTGAATTTGAGGAGCTGCACTGCCAGACTCTCACAGAATCCTTCGATGGCAAACTTGGAGGCAGCGTAGACATCGTTGAATGGAATACCTGGTTGGGAAGCAAGAGAACGTAAGGACACAAGAGAAGCCACGCTGGATCAGGCCAATGGCCCATCCAGACCAATGCTCTTGTGTCACACAGTGGCCAAAACTACCAGGTGCCATCAGGAGGTCCACCAGTGGCTTTCAGAACATAAGAGAGGCCATACTGGATCAGGCCAAGGGCCCGTCCAGTCCAACACTGTGTCACACAGTGGGCAAAACTACCAGGTGCCATCAGGAGGTCCCCCAGTGGCTTTCAGAACACAAGAGAGGCCATACTGGATCAGGCCAAGGGCCCGTCCAGTCCAACACTGTGTTACACAGTGGGCAAAACAACCAGGTGCCATCAGGAGGTCCACCAGTGGGGCCAGAACTCCAGAGGGGATGTGGGGTGAGCACACACTGTGTCCAGCCACCCCACCGATCAGGGGTCCCCAGGGGTCATTTCGTAGAAAAAGAGGTGCAGGAGCTCATTAGCATAACTTATTAGCATAACTCATTTGCATATTCCACACCCCCTGACATCACCGGAAGTGTGTCAGAAGGCAACACCCACCGCTTAGGCTCCACTGAACTGTTTTGGATTGCTAGCTATTGGGGGCGGGGGGAACGTGCAGGAGAGCTGGTACCTGAATAAACCTTGGTCTTAAAGGTGCCACTGGACTGTTTTGGATTGCTAGCTATTGGGGGGAGGGGAACGTGCAGATCTGCCCTCACAGAGGAGGGAGAGCTTGTACATGAAGGCAGGTCGGGGTGTGTGTGTCTCTGCAGCTTACCTGGCTGCTTCTTGCTCCTCGAGGCCCGACTGAGGGCTGCTGGGAGCAGGGGGCAGGGCTTGTTGAATGTGCCTGCCCCCTGGGCTCCTTACTGCTGGAGCTCAGTTCCTGTGCGCTTCTGCAGGAAATGACCCCTGGGGGTTCCCAAAGTGGTGCTAGTGGGCACTGTGGTGCCTGTTAACACCTTTCCTGACACCCTTCAAGTGTTTCGGAAATTGGGCAATTTGGCTCAAGAAGGCTTTTGATCAGCCATTGAAGACTGGGTTGGCTGCAGAGATTAAAAACAACAACATTACTTTGGCAGCA